ATATTTAAAAAAATATATAAAAAAATATTAAAAAATATATCGTATTTTTTAAAGTTTTATTATCTCTAGTGCTACTACGAAACTATGGTAATTAAATTTGTGCAAAATCACAGTTGGCGCGAGTCTTCAACAATAATTTCTGGCTGCCTGTCAACACGGACAGAAAAAATGTCACATAGTTGTCACATAAAAACTTGCTCGTGTAGACGGGTCTAAGAAATCGAAGGCACTTCCATTCGGCCACGCGTATAATTGTGGTTAGACTTGTCTGTGAAGTGCAGGTGCTCGCTCCTGGTTGTCAAGAATCAAAGTTAAAAGTAATTAGTTTTAGCGAAAAAAAAAACTGTATTCATAAATCGTTCACATTAAAATTCCATTTGTAMAGTAAATCATAATTTGATTCGTCTTACCGTTCAGTCACAAAGGTTGAAGCAAGCAAAGAAGACGATCCTCCAAATTCGTCGTTTTGAAATGATTGTACGAAGGTGCTGGCCCGTACTTATCGAGAACCCAAGTTAATATTTCTTGATATTTCATTTTAGAGGATGTTAAAATACTTATATTCCTCCTTTGACGCACAGAACACAAAAGACTTGGTTGAGGAAAACTAGTTTCGACTTTACTAAACCTTTTCAATTCACAAGCAGTTGTAGATCGAGGAATTGAAAAAGTTGAAAAGCTCTAGTAAAGACGAAACTAGTTTTCCTCAACCAAATCTTGTGTGTTCTGTGCGTCAAAGGAGGGATAACAGTTGTTTGACATCCTCTAAAATCAAGTTAATATTCTTGCACTCCTTATACATCAACATTCAAAGACYATCTGAATTCAATTTGAAAGTGTTTTTGCATAGCACAGGCATGTGTTACAGGCTGTAACACATCTGTTGCTTCTAGATACAAATCCAAAATTTCATTGCGGACTTACTTGGACAGTTTCTTTGTTATCTATTGAACATAAATGTACCAAAAACACAAATTTCTCTCTCCGACATATTAAGATATTTTAAGAAATTGTCCCTACAATTAGCCTTGTTAAAGCGGGTACTATTTGACTGTTTCATGGTACATGSRATATTGCTTTTTAAACAAAATTGTTTTTTGGCACACTAAAACCAAGACTTTCAATGAAACATCTTTTGTCTATTGACTGTATCAATATATCCTTGATACGTTTAAACCACAAATTCTTTGATGATCCAATTTAAGTAAATATCTATTTGGCTGTTTGTTGAAGTTTATATTGTTTGATTTAATTGGACTAGAGACATCGATTGTTATTATTGGTTTTTGACACTTGCGGTGATTTTTTTTTTTGCGTCTTTCGCTGCCAGATGTAGCGCTAYTAGACGTGGCAGCATTTACCCAAAGATCGCAAATTTTACATATTTGTGGCTAAAACAAAAGTCAAACTTAGTAGTCTTTGGGTAATTTCATCAGTAATGAATGTGGAGAAATGAAGCCATAATGTAACTTTAAGCTCTTTATGTTGGAAGCCCACGTGATCATGTGATCACTAGTATTCGTCGATTTGATTCAACTTTGCTTTGATTTTGTTTGATATTCTGGTTTTCCTTGCGAATAATTTTTATTAGGCAAACTCAATTTTTTTTCGCCTACCAACATGAGAAATATTAGTCAATGTTACATCTTGAAATTTATATTGTTTGCTTAATAATTGAACTCCAAGTTTTCTTAGGCCCGATTTAGTTGTTATTGTTTTTTGACACTTGCGGTGATTTTATTTGTTTTTCGGATCCAGATGTAGCGCTTCTGGTYRTRGCAGCATTTACTCATAGTTGTAGCTCGAGTGGTATTCATCTCACCGGCGCTCGGTTGTGTTTATCCAGAACCGAAGTTAAATTATAAAACTATATTCATAAATCGTTTATTTAAAATTCTATTCGTTAAGTAATTATAATTTGATTCATCATTATATCTTTCTGTATTCGTCTGCACAATCAATCTTCGAGTTGTGTTGCCATTGGCGGCTTGATTCAATACTAGGGTTTAAAGTTTCTTATCGTTTCATCAAGCAATTCAGAACTAAACTAGCTCGGCTGACAATAAAAAGGTCGAAAGAACT